AAAGTACTCATTCAAAATTTACTTAACTTTAGCAAGCCTCTCTTCGCACACTGCTTGAGCACAGGGTATTACAGAAAGCAAAAGAGAAAAAATATGCCAAGAAACAAACTCAACAGCTTGCTTATGTGTTACTGAGACTCAATTGCATTGGGCGCGGCGCGCATTGGTGAGGGGGGAGGGGGGAGGATGGCAGCGCTTACAGAGTCGACTGGCTGCCAATGTGTGAATTACGAGTGTATTTTGTGCCGTCTGTGATTTTTGGCCCTTAAAGCTGAGCAGCGGAGCGGCAAAGCGATTTGTGAGAAACTTCATTTTTTTTGTCCAAAATAAAAGTCTAATGTAATTTACTTTAGTTTTGCAGCCGCAAACGAAGACTGATTCAAGTACACGAAGTTCAGGAAACAAATCCAATAAACTCGCTTAAAAAAATCAATGTCTAACAAGCCAAAAACAAACCCCAAAAAAAAGTTAATGTGCGGGGGAAGAAAATAATCTTAATTTTCCACAAAAGAAACGTGACACATTTTCGCTGGTCAAAAGCAGTCAACGCATCGCAAAACTGTTTCAAACTTTGCAGAGCACACACACACTCTCTCAAGTGTTGTGTGTGTGTGTGTGTGTGGTGTGTTTGGTGTGTGTAAGTGGCCCAATTGATTGTTGCTTGTTTTGCCTTTGTTTAGTTTTGGGTTAGCACCAAAAAAAAAAACCAATTTCTTTTGTATTGCGAGCACACGCAACATGAAAATTGTTTGGTTTGTTCTTTGTTTTCAGGTAACTCAAGTGGACTCTTGGCCAAATGTCTTAAGCAGCCAATGAACACACCTGTTAGTGTATTCATTTTAGACATAGCTCCTTTAATTGGCATTTGTACAACACATATTAGAGTGGCTTTTTCATTTGGCTAGTTTTATTTGGAGCATGGCTCTCAGAAATATTTGCAAAGGAAAGGGCGGGTTTGAACTATTTCTTTAGAAATACACAGCTCAATCAGTTGACAATCGTGAAATAAAGGCAGGTAGATTGAGGTTTGATTTAGAAAAGAAGAGAAGCTTTGCATTCGAACTTTGATACCTTAATTCTAATTTAAGGCTGGAACTTTTTGAGCTTAGGATCAGCACAGATAAGAATAGTTTCCTGTAGCATATAGAAACTTGCTAGAATTTCTATAAATATGGCAGCTGATTACTCTGCATACATATTATATTATATTATTACGGCCTGGGCTTGGTCTGGGTTAGGCCTGGGTAAGGCCTGGGTTAGGCCTGGGTTAGGGCTGGGTTTGGCCTGGGCTTGACCTTGGTCTATTGTGCCTCCCATGGATAAACAGAATGTGAGTTACCCTAGCTTCATTTCTCAAAGGTCCAACCCAGAAAGCTAAGAAAATCTTAGCCTGCCTAAAGCTGTATAATTCTCTAATATAAACTCTAGAGTTGCTCGGCTCTGCAGTGAATATCCTCCACAAATTCGAGCTATCTTTTGTGCCTTGCAGATCAGACTTATCAACTTTTGTTTCCAGTTCACTTCTAGCTTATAATAATAGAAAATAATATAAGAAAGGTTCCTTATCATTTACTCTAAACACAAAAAGAAAATCCTCTCCTTCAAGCCAATTTTCCTACACCTTAGCCAGTTTCGTGGTTAACTGTTCGATCTACCCGTGCGGCATCAAAACATGGCCTCAAGTGCTTAACAAAATCTGTCAGACACATGGCCAAAACTGTCATTTCGTCTAAATACACCTTTTTGCATTGTGCTTCTGTCGGTTTCTCGGTTTGATTTATTGTATGCCCAAAAGTATTTGCGGCATGTGTGTGTGTCGGCCAAGTGCATATATCTATATATATAAAGTATGTAAATGTCTGGCTGATTTGTTTAAACAAACGAGCACAGAGTGTGCTTGTGTGTGTGTGTGTACGGCTTGTCCCTACAGCTGTCAGCTTCAATCTTGTGCTCTCGTTTGTGCCCTTAAACCAAACCCTGAACGACCGCACTTTCTTCTAGTGTTTGCTCCGGTTTTGTTACATTCGGATCTCTGTCTGTGTCTGTGTGACGTCTGTGTGTCGTCCACTTGTCATGTCACTCAGCGTCATTGTCATGCAGACAATGCCGGGCTGAGTCGCTCCTCAATGCTGCTGCCCCACAGCTAACTAACCCTCGGAACGGACGACTGCCCGCCCTCAGCTCTCGGCACGGAGCCAGCAGCTATTTTTCGGTTCTTGCATTTCATTTACATTTTCAATGTCAGGTTCGAGTTTCGAGTTGTAAGCTTCAGAATGCTGACATTTCGTAATTTACCGTTACAAATCAATTGTCAAGTTATAGTCAAAACCTCCCCCAACAGCCACGCCCACAGCCCCCGTTGATGTCCTGTGTAAATGCCCGAGGAAAAGGAGCAGCAGCAGCAGCAGCTGCCCAAAGGCATTTCTCACAAATGTGTTGAAATATTTTACGCACAATTTATGTTAATTTGCCCACAGTTTAGCCATAAACACACACCAATACACACACACACACACACACACACACACACACACACATACACAACATATTTTTATGGCCCGCCTCGATATTTATGCGCGATTTTTTTCGCATTGAACAAAAATTGTTTAGCCGCTTATAGTATGCTATATAAGGCTATATACACCCACATATATGGCTGTACGTGCTTTGGCAAAAGTTTTGGGGTTCATTGCACACACACACACACACACAGCTCACACACACACAGCACACACACATGTGTGTGTCCTGGCTTTCTGTTAACATTTTGACAGCAAAGGCTTTAAGTTGTCAGCGCGTTCTTTAGCCATATTATTGCTATTGTCATTGTTGTTGCTAGAGTTGTTATTGCAGTTGTTGTTGGTGTTGCTTTTGTTGTTGTTGTTGTTTTTGTTGTTGTTGCTGCTGTTGTTAGCATTGGCGCTTATTAACATATTGTTGTTTTGCGCTTGTCGCGCCATTGACAATTCATTTTGTTATCACCAACCCACGAAAGCTTTCCGACAAAACCTAAAAACGAAACCCAAAAACTTTTACCCCAAAAAACAATATCCAAAATATACGACTCTCCGATAACCTGTAAAAGTTTGCCATGCATGAGGGGTATGACTGCATTTTTGATCGAAAAGCAATAGTAGCAATAATAGTTATCGATATATGCAACAATCGATAAATATCGAAATGACACGCTCATAAGCAGAGCGATAAACCTTATGTAAAAAGTATTCCATAGAGTTATCGATTGATGTTAGCAATAGCAAAAAATCGATCTTCGATCGGTAAATATTGAACAATAATAAGTATTGACCAGAATAGCAAACAATAAATATCGAATTGATACGATCGTCATAAATAAATTGAATGCTGGCATTTAAGTATGTGTTTGACAATTTGTCGATAAATATCGTATTGAATAAACAATAAATTTTTTATTATTCCCGTAAAAGTCGTCGGCTAACCTTTCTTAATGGAAAACCAAGTGAATACTGTCAATTAGAGCTGTGTTAGATTGCTTATCGATTGAAATCGATAGAACGCTTTTCTTATATGTTAAAGCTTAAAGTCTATTATTGATTATTATCGATACATCTAATTAATACGTAAACTAGGCATAAATATATGAAATGGGAAGAACTTATCGTTAACTATCGAAGTAAATTCTTGGGATTAGAGAGGTGATACATTTTAAAGTGATAATTATCGATTGTAATCGAAAACACGCCTTAGCTTACATGTAATGACGGCTTACGTTAATTGTAGTTTTACATAGACCTGCTAGAATCATTCTGATCGATAAATATCGATAACAGACACAACAGCACAAGCTCGTGTGCTCGTTGCCTTAATGTAAAACTAATATGCTCGCTCTAATATGCATTTATGCAGGGTGTAGAAATACTTTTGCCAACAAAGTATTTATATTTGGCATGTGAAAACTTTGCTGTCAGCTGGAGATTTGTGCAAATGATAAGGTCTGACAGCTGAACTAAGCTTAATGCGTATAATAACATGGCCAAATGCCGGCCCCACCTGAATGCTGGAATGATTAAAGACAAGATTAAAGCGCGCCCCGTAATAAGCGCGAGTAAAGTGCAGCAGCTGCCGCATCGAGTTGCAAATAGATGTGTGCATATGCATATGCCAGGCAACTTATGCCCAAATTGCCGTGTACTTCAGCTGAAGGAGGGGGGGGAGGAAGAAATACTGGTGTGGTAAGGAAGTTAAGGGGAGTTGAAAACATGCTTAAGCTGCAAAGACGTCGCGTTGGCTGCAGCTGCCTCTCTCCAAAGGCATTTTAAGCTATGCAACACATACGCACACACACACACACACACGCGCTCCTGCGGCTGCTCGTTATTATTAGCATAATTACAGGCGCATTAGCGTGCTGCGGCTTTGGGCTTCAGGTGGCTAGGCAATTGGCTGTGCTACCTGATTATGACAGCCTAAAAGCCTGCCACAGGCGACTCCTGCCTTGCCACATTAAAGCCGCACACAAATTTCAATACTAAACACATAGTTTTAGCTCTTAAATAGAAGAATTAAATGACTAATTAAATGAAATTAATTAAATTACAATATGTTTGCTTATGAAAAGTTATGGAAATTGTATAGGCTACAAATAAACAAAACAAATCAATTTGCAAATTGTGATTCCGTTTATTGCAAATAAAAATATAGAATTTCAGCTCTGATTTTTATACGAATATATATATTTTTGCTGTCTATCTAACTAACTGGGTCATTTTCATGTATATTGCATTAATTAGTTTTTCATTGTTTTCATTTTATTTTTGCAGCTTTGCCACGCTTCATGTTTACGCAACAGTCGCCCCACGCTCAACATTAAACAGCCAAAGGTCACAGAAGGAAGTTTTTTACTTAAGCCGAAGCTCAAACAAAAACAAACGCGCAGCTAAAATCAACACAGAGCGAAAGGGAGAGAAAAAGCTGAGTGTGGACGCAAAGAACTAGGGACTAGGGACTAGGACTAGGACACAATGCGTTTACAGCTGCTCGGGCTGCTCTGCCTGACGCTGGGCGCCGCCGTCGCCTTCGCCGCGGCCTATCCCAACATCAACAGCAACACACAGTCGAAACAGCCAATCTACACCTATCTGACTACATCGAGCACGTCCAGCCACAGGAATGAGCCAGCTTCCAGTGCCATGCAGCCGGCCATTGTGTATGAGGCGTCTGTGCCAAAGCAGGAGACGCGTCCCGCCAGCAACGGCGCAGCCTCAACCACAGCTGAGGTGGCATCAAAGAAAGTCATCGGTTCCAGGTGAGTGCACGCAGACACACACACACAACTGCCTGATGTGCGTGCTTTTTTTTATATTTTACACACAGCAGAGAACGAACCACCCAAAACCACCCAAAACCACCCAAAACCACCCGAAGCACCTATTCCACTTTAAGCCAGCGCTGGCTTTGTTTGCGCTTGTTGTTGCTGTTGTCGCTGGTTGTTAGGCAAAGTCTTTTGTTTGCACAGCTTTTTGCAATTTTTGCCACTAATTGAAATAGAATTTCCCTTTTGTTGTTGTGTGTGAGGGGGGGGGGGGGGGGGTTGGCGTGGTCAGTTGGCAAATGCCTTAGTATTTTAATTAATTTGCTCAACAGGCGCCACTTGACGGGCGGTCCGCGCCGACCCCACAACAATAAAACACGTGGCATAGCTAGCGGCGCGCCATTTCAAAAATAAAACAACAAAATCAAAAATGGAAATAGAAAAAAAATAAAAAAAAAAACAACAACAACAAAAAGCCTGGCACAAATTGAGTGCTCATTAAGTTCAAATCAATGCTAATCAGTTGGCTTTTCCGGCGCTTTCTTCGTTCGCTTGGGCATTGTCTTTTCATGCTCCATGCCAAAGGCAGCGCGAGTTTGACAAATTTATTGTTCTCCAATTAACAATAATATCGATGAAAATCGATTACAAAATATCGATAAGTTTTGATTACAAAACATCGAATAAAATATTTATAAATATTGATAACAAAACATCATTTTTAATATACATAAAAATATCTATAAATACTGATTACAATAGATCGATTAATAGCCAACGATTAATATCGATTAGAAATATATCGATGAAGATAGGATACAAAATATTGATAACGGTTGATTATACAATATATAAAGATAGATATCGATCGTAGCTGTCGAGTACAAAAGTATCGATAAATAACTCCCAAAAAATATCGATAAATATCAATTGAGAGTGACAGTTCTTTAAGCCTAACTCGAAAATTGTAAGAACAAGTTGTAAAAGACTTGTATCTATCCTATCATATTAAATATAGAGTATTCAAATATTTCACAGTTTCGATACCTCCCCCAATATCCCTTAAATTAGAAAAAATAGCACATTTTAAAGTACAGAGCTTTGCACTTTGGTATACACACATATTTGTTTGCCAAATTTAAGCCTGGAAATTTTCATAAAGATCGGACTATAAATACCGAAGTTACTCAAGAGTGTTTTCCTATATATAGGAAGGGAAGAATCAGCACAGTTGTGTGTGTCTTTGTGTATGTATGTAGTGAGATCAGGTTGAATATTGGTAACAGAAGCTGACTTTAGGGCATCTCCTAGTCGTGCATGCCCGACCCCAGCACTCCTTCTTCCACAAACCCATTAATGTTTGGGGCTTGGTTAAGTCCCGCAACCCTTAAGCACAGCTGTTCGGGGTAGAAATTTTCATGAAAATTAATATTTTTGTTGCCGATTTTCTTGTGCTTCTGTTCTGTTGATTCTGTCAGGATTCTCGCGTCGTTTCATATTAATACCGACGCATAAACAAATTCACAGACTTCGCGGCATATGGCAGACAGTGCTCGACTACTCGGCCAGATAATGATAACGAGCAGCTGCCGCTGCGGGTCTTTCATTATGATAATAATGATAATACGGCTGTTGGAGACGCCCTTGATAATACAGCCAGATATCCGTGCGTCTCTTGTGCTATGCTTCAATCGACTCGGTGGTTTATCGTTTTGTTTCCACAATACATAAATAAAATGCAGAAACATTTGTATTTCAGTTCATTGGCAATTTCCTGCCGTTTGTCATTAACGAAAATTTAAATTCAACAACGGCAAAAAAAAAACATGGCTATTGAAAAACCATTTTTATTATAATTTAAAAGGAGCGTATGCATTTTTATTAAATGGCAGAGCAATTTTTTTAAATTGAATAACTACATTAATTATGTGTTTTAAAAAAAAATATAGTTTTTCTTTTGTTTATATTTTAAATACAATAATTATGCGCATTCAAATTTGTTTAATCCTTTGTTTTTTTCTCATAATTTCACATTTGAAAAAAGGTTTTCATCTTAATTTTATAAATACTATTTTGATGTCATAAATATTATTTTCAAATGTGCGCATTTATCCCATTGAGACATTATTTTAATGTGCTCATAATTGAAGCCAAAAATGTATTAAATAGATTTTAAATCATAATCATTCTGTTTTTTTTTTAAGCACATGAAAAGCCCGTTTTAATGTTAGCTTATTTTAATCAGGCTGTCAAAAGCATATAAATTAATTATGTAAAATGATATATATATGAATACAAATAAATATATATATATATTTTTTATAGGGAATTTCATTGACAATAATATGTTTGCGACAATTCAAATGAAAGATAAATGCATAAAAAATTTAGAATTAAATTGGTAGAAGTAGATATAGGGCAGCTTTGTGGTTAAATCAATACCATATATCCACTTGCTGGCAGAAAATTAGTTAATTAATAACTCCTTGAACTGTTGGAACTGTAAAAGCCTAGGTTTGAGCCAGCACGCTGATTCGAACCATAAGGCGTGGCTTTGAAGCGAGTCATGACTCAAATGACCAAAAATTTGTGTGGGGCTTCATCAGAACAAACGGTTCCTTATATATTCTAGATATATTCTATATATATTCCATATATATTTTATATATATTCTCAGCACCCTAAAACATTTATAATTTAAGCTCAGGTGCTTAAAAACTAGTGAGCTTTTGCATGTATTCAATTATTTGCCAGTCTCGATATTTGCGAAGTCGTGATTTTTAGCTGCCTGGATATTTATCACAGCAGAACTGGCAGCCAGACAGTTGGACAGATGTATGACATGCAGTTAGACATACATACATATGTACATATAGAGCAACAGCTGCATATGACGAGGCACGCGCGACTCACGTGCTTAAATGTTAATGATGTGCCATACGAGATTCTAGTATATGAAGTGTGTAGCTGTAGCTCCTGGCTCCTGGCTTCTATCTGCACGAAATACAACAACGTGTAGCTATGTTAACTAACTGCCAGCTAGGCAAATGCGAATGCAAATGCAGCAGGCAGTTGGGTTGGTTTGGGCTTGGGTTGGGTTGGGTTTGGTTGGGGGCGGTGTTCGAGCGTGACTGTGTGACTTTCGCAGCAGCGATTGCAGGCTGCATTCAATTTCCATTAAAATGCCAGCGAATGCGCCGCAAAGTATGCAGCATGACTTTGAAATTTTCAACTTTATCACATTTATTTGCCATTAATCACTGTCACTCCGGCACTCGATAACATATGCTATTCCTTTCTTTTTTTTTTACTCGGCAGCTTGGTCTCCTCGGTGTCCGTGGTGCTCGACGGCAATGAGCCGCAATTTACGGATGCCCTGGGCCAGAAGGTGCCCAAGCCGCAGCCCTCGCTGCAGGTTGCGAGTCCCATAGATCTGCTCAATCCCGATCGTTACGAGTTCTATACCTTCGATGAGCACGGCGAGCTGGTGAAGCGTCTGATGACCATGCAGGAAATCCAGAGCATTGTGGCCAATGGCGACGGCGATGGACCCTCGATAATACACACGGCGCCGCAGCTGGAACACGAGCCGGAGAAGAAGGTGCAGGATATTGTGGACAGTGTGCAGAATGTGCTCAACAAGGAGGTGGCCAGCAGCTCCTCGAAGAACAGCTCCGGTGAGCTGTTGCCCGTGTTGGACACACCCGACGTTTCCTCCTCCTGGTCGCTGATATTGCCAGCCATCTTTGGCAATACGGGCGGCGATATATTCCCCCAGCAGAAGCCCCAGCAAATTGTGATGACACCCGAATCGGAGCTGGTGGACACTTCGACACGTGCCGCGCCCACCACACAGCGTGTGACGAAGAAGCCAAAGCCCGCCAAGCGCAAGCCGGGCAACCGACGCAAGCCCAGTACCAGCACCACGGAGATGACACCGCAAGTGGTGCAGGAGGATTTGGATCCATTGGAGTCCGTCTACACGGGCATACAGCAATATCAGCAGGCGGCGGCCAATATGCACGACTTTGATGTCGCGCACATGCAGCCCATTTACCAGAAGCTGCCCAGCACCACCGCCCGGCCAGAGACAACCACGCGACGCGTCTTCTACAACAATCAGGAGATAGTACACACGCCCAGCGCCTCGTCAAGCACCACTGAGCAGCAGCATCAGCTGGCCAAAAAGCCGGGCAATGTGCACCGCAAACCCACACAACCACATCGCGTGAAGAAACCCAACGGCAACACGAGCAGCACCACTCAACCCACTGGCGGCAAGCAAAAGGTAAAGAAGAAGCCAACAACCAGCACCACCAGCACCACCAGCACCACCTCCACCACAACCACCACCACAACCACAACCACACCAGCACCTCCAACAAACGCACCCGCTGAGACAGCACCAGACACAACAACAACCACTCAGGCGCCCGTCTCGACCACGCCCACGAAGAAGAAGAAGCGCAAGCCGACGCGCACACCTGGACACACGGCCACCACCGGCGGCAGCAACAAGCCCAGCAAACCAAAACGCAAGCCAACCACCAAGCCCAAGCCACAACAACAACAACAACAGCAACAGCAACACCACCCAGCCGCTGAGCAGGCAGCTGCAGCCTCTGCACCACAGCAGCAGGAGGTCAGCACACAGAAGCCAGCGCGTCCGCATCGGCCGCAAAAGAAGCCCAAGCCCACCACAACGAGCACTAGCACCACAACGACAACAACCACCGTGGCGCCCACCACCAGCTCAACCACAACAACAACAACACCAACAACAACAGTTGCAACTGAGCCAGCTGCACCACAGCAGGAATCAGCCGAAAGTGCAGCACCACACGAGCCCGTGCAACACGAGCCTGTGCATCACGAGCCCGTGCACCACAAGCCCGAGCACCACGAGCCCATCCATCACAAGCCTGCTGCAACAACAACAACCACAACTACAGAGGCACCCAGAACCACCACCACAGCTGCAACCACCACCACAGCGGCAACCACAACGACAGCGGCAACCACAACGACAGCTGCTCCCAGCACCACCAGCAGCAGACGGCCACCCACACTGCATTATGAGAAGCTGCATGGCAAGCCCGGGCATGCCAGCACCACCAGCAAGCGGCCCACAACGCTGCACCACCAGAAAATAAACGGCAAGCCTGTGCACAGCGTAGCAACCACTGAAGCCAGCAAGCACACCGCCAGCTATGGCCACATTAATGCGATACCAACAAAGAGCACAACAACGACAACAACAACCACCAGCACCACACATGCGCCCGTGTACCCGGTGCCCAGCTACGACGCGGAGGCCACTGAGAATTTGCCCACAATTGTGGCTGTGCAGGAGACGGCCGAGGAGGATAAGACGCAGCTGAAAAAGACGCCGCTGCCGTTGCCATCGCTGGCCCTTTTGCAACAACAGCTGCAACAGAGCGCACCACCATCGCAGGCAGCTCAGTTGTCGGCGGTGCAAATGCTCTCCATGGATCAGATTGTGCAGAGCCTCACGCAGGATCTGTTGGCTGGCGACAAGAAGGATGAGAATGCGGCGCCTGTGAAATACGACAGTGCGGACAGCAAGGAGCAGATGGAAACGTTGGCCAACCAGAAGAAAGTGCCCATCAGCAGCAGCACAACAACAACAACAACCAGCACCACCACGACAACTACAACAACAGCAGCGCCCCGGACAAGCACAACAGCTGCGACTACGCCGAAGCCGCTGACCGCGCATTATGGCGGCAGTACGCTGGCCACCATGCTGGATGAGGAAGAAGACAAGGACGACTCGACGGGCAGCCAGCAGCAAACGACGCTGAGCAGCATGGAGGTCGAGCCGGAGGAGGAGCAAACGCCCGTGGTGCTAATAACCGCAAGACCGCAATATTTTACGACCAACCAGGCAGCACCACAGCCGCTGCAGCCGCTGCAGTCGCTGCTGTCCACTGCCCAGCCGGAGCCGGAGACCACAGAGCTGCCCAGTCATATGCAGTTCTTGCTGACCACGCCCATGGCGGCGTACGATGAGAGCGAAACGGAGGCGCCGACCACAGACAGGCCCACGGCTGAGGCCAATCATGTGGTGAAATTCGAGCCACTCTATGCGGATGTGCCCGAGGCTGTGGTCGCCGAGCTGACCGAGCAGCCCAACATCAATGAGGAGACAACCACCGAAATGTCAGCGGCACGTTTGCCCGTCACGGACCGCACCACCAGCACCACCAGCACCACCGATGCCGATGAGGATAGCACCGACGTAACGCCCATGATAGCCAATCTGGTGCAGCAGCTGAATCTGGAGGTGCTCAAGCCAACCGATCAGATCTCCATGGGCAATTTCCAGACACAGGCAGCCACGGTGGCATCCACTCTGGTGGATGGCGGCAATACGCTCGTCTCCGACATTTACATGAACTCGAACGAGACCAAGGATGAGCTGCAGTTCCTCATGTCCGATGTTATACAGCAAATCACACAGGACGATGACGAGACATACAAGCCAGCCGATGACTCGCATCGTTTGACCAACTTTGCCCAGCTGAATACATCATTTTTGCTGCCGCCAAGGCCAAGCACAACGGAAGAGCCGACGAAGCTGACGGAGCAGGAAATCACAACCGTAAGACCCAGCCAAGAGGAGCACAGCAAACAGGAAGCTGATTACATCAATACGCCAGCACCAGGGCTTGCTCCGGTGGAGAGCAGCACATGGCGGTTGCCCGTGTTGTCGCTATCGCAAATTTATGCGCAGCAGCAGCAGGACGAGGATGATGAACAGCAACTGTTCGACTCGGAAAGAATCGAGCTCCTTAAACCAACCGAAGCAGCAGACAAACAGGAAGTCATTGAGGAGGAAAAGATGGAAGAGCAGCCGGAGGAGCAGCAGCAGCAGGCGGAGAAGCAGCAGCAGTCGCAGGAGCTGCAGCAGTCGCAGGAGCAGCAAGTAGAAAAGCAGGAAGAGAAGCACGAAGAAAAACAGCAGGAGGAGGAGAAGCAGCAGCAGGAGGAGGAGAAGCAGCAGCAGCAGCAGGAGGAGAACCAGCAGGAGGAAGAGGAGAAGCAGCAGCTGGAGGAGGAGAAGCAGCAACAGCAGCTCGGAGAGCAGCAGGAGGCAACAACAATGCCGCCAGCAGACACCACCGAAGCAGCAGCAGCAGCAACACCCATCACTGAGCAAGTGCAGCAGACGGAGGAGAGTAGCAAGGAGACCAGCTTGGCTGAAGAGGTGACAACGGTGTCGGGAATGGAGCAGCTGCACGACGAAAAGCCAGACGCGCCCGAGCGCGATAGCGAGGAGGAGCAAATGCCCGAAATGTTGACAAATGGTTACAACGAGCAAAGCCAAGCGGAAGCCACAACAGAGCAGTTGGAGGCAGACACCACGGAGCAGGTGCCGGCAGTCGAGGAGCTGGCAACAACAACAGCAGCAGCAGCAGCTGGGTCAACAAATGTTTACCAGGACGCACAAGAGCAAACATCCAGCGAGAAGGAACAACAGCAAACAGAGAAAAGCGAAGAGGATGCAAAAACGGAGGAGTTGCTGGAGGAGGAAGAGCCGATGCAGAGTGTCGAGGATAGCGCCACAAATGCTGCACAACTGCAGCCGCAGTACAGCGCACAGCCTGCTGCAGAGGAGCAGGAGGAGGATAAGGAGCAGCAGCAACAGACAACAGCCGGCGGCAGCGCGGAGCAGTCGACAACAAACAGCGTGGAGCTGGCCACGGAAATACCCGGTGATATGTCCGTCGTCTCATCCGAATCGGACATGTCGCTCAGCTCCGAGCAGGTCACGGAAAAGCTCGAGCTGAGCACAGTGCGCACCATGGAGCTAAATGAGGAGGCACTGGAGGATATATCCGATGAGCTGACAGCCACGCTAACCGAGGAGGATACCACAAGTGCACAGAAATATTCGCTGGACGATGAGGATCCCTATGTGAAGCTGGGCGAGACGACGGCCAGTGTGGTGAGGCCGCAGCATGTGCCCAGTACGGAGGAGGATAAGAGCACACCTAACCAATCCGTGGAGCAGCAGCAGCCGGAGAAGGAAGAGCAGCAAGGCTACAAGGTGGAACAGGAACAGTCGCTGGAACAGAAGCCGGAGCCGGAGTCGAACTATCACCTCACATTGCCGCTGGCCAGCTATGGCAATCAGCAGGCGGACGAGGAGGATGAGGAGGATCAGGCCGACTATCAGCTGCCCATGCTGCTGCCCAGCAGCAGCACAACTGAGAAGGCGGCAACGACGACAACGCCCAGCACGACCACGCCCTCGCCCACAACCACCACCACCAGCACCACCATGAGCACCACAACCAAGCGGCTGCACACGCTGAAACCCGTTTCGTACTATGTGCAGCCCTCACTGCTCGGCGGCTACAATCAGCTGGAGCCGCAGCCGCCCAAGGTGCTGCCCTTCAATGCCAACAGCAACAGCCTGGCCCAGCAGCAGCAGCAGCAGCAGCGACCGATGCAGCGTCCCGCGTCGCTGACCAATCTGATGGCCGCCTCCACGCAGGCAACGCGTCCGCCTGTCAAGCTGGAGCCAAGTCCGCAGAGTTCGCAGGGCCTGGAGGCATCGACGGCGCGATTGGACGAGGATGTGCTCTCGTTTGCTCGGCTGTGCAATGAGCTGGCCTTTAGCTACTGGAAGGCCATCACCTCGGAGAAGATTAGCTCGGCCAGGAGCTTGGTCATCTCACCGTTTGCTTTGACCTCGATGCTGTCCATGGTGTTCCTGGGCGCACGCGGCAGCACATCGGGCGAAATGAACGAAATACTCAAGCTGGACGATATGGTTAGCTTTAATCCGCATCTGATATTCCGCAACATAACCAATTCCGTGGAGCAGTCTCTGGAGAGCGACATCGCCACGGCTGCCTTTGTGCGCGAAATCTTCAGCGATCGCGCGAATGGCAAAATCCTGCCCTTCTTCAAGGAGAAGACGCAACAGCTCTATGGCGGCCATGTGGAGGAGGTCAATTTCCATGTGGTCAACGATATTGTGAGGCGTCGCACCAATCTGCTGGTCAAGCGGCACACGATGGGCAAAGTTCTCGAATATTTGCGCACGAATAGCGTTTGGGTAAACGGGCCGCTGGCGACGGTGTCGGCGAATCTCTTCCAGACCGATTGCTCGCGCGGCTCGACAACGGAACGCGACGGCGAGATGTTCTTCCAGGTGCATCCGACGGTGCGTCAGCGTCGCCTGGTGCCCATACCCGCGGTCCTCTATCGCTCCGGCTTTACGGCCGGCTATGAGCCCAGGCTGGATGCCACGGTGGTTGCCTTTGGACGCATCCAGGATACGGTGAGCACCATCTACGTGATGCCCGGCCATCAGAGCTCGGTGTCGCCCACCGACAATCTGGATCGCCTGGAGCGCAATCTGGCGGAGCTGGCGTTTGGCCAGGGCAATGCCTGGAGCAATTTGTTGACCTCCCTAATGGATCGGCCTGGCATGGAGGTGCAGCTGCCGCGTTTCTCGCATCGTTCCTTTGTCAATGCCTCGCTAGGTCTGCAGAAGATGGGCCTCAAGGGTCTGTTTAAGTCGGACTTTGCCGATTTGCGTGGCCTGACGAGCGCTGGCAATCGGGACATATTCCTCTCGGACATGATACAAATTAATACGTTCAGCACTTGCGGCGAGGAGAAGATCTCCGATCATCATCACGTCGAAATGTATCCGGCGCCGCCGTTGCGTAAACGCAACAAGGATGTGGACGCCACAGACGATGATGCCTACGATTCGTCCGAGGCAATTGTCGACTTCGGTTCGCTGGTGCAGGAGTCCGCTCTGGGTCGCGGCTTCTACGACGATCTGCTCGATCCCAAGTACTTGGAGCTGCCGCTGCCGTTGCGTCCGCGTCAGGCCCGTGTGCCGGATGCGCCGCGGCTGCGCTTCGACAAGCCCTTCCTCTATTTTGTGCGCCACAATCCGACGGGCATGATACTCTTCATGGGCCGCTTCAATCCGCGCCTGTTGCCATGATACCCAAGCCCCAGCCCCTAAGTAAGCCAAAATACCGACAAATACACAAAAAAAAATAATATTACAAAAAAAAAAAAACGAAAATTGTTAATGCCCAATTTGACCCAGCCCAGCCCAAAAAAAAGGGACACGCCCATGCGGTCAAAGCAATTAAATAGTGAATTGAAATGCCTGCAATTAAGTTAATTTTATGATTAATGCCAATTGCTGTGCCTTAATCCCGCGTCCCGCACTGCAGCACCGATACGAGATTGATGTGCAGCAAAAAAAAAACAAAAAAAAACAAAAGGAAAATACTACAAAAAATACCACACACAAAAATACCATACAGAAATAATATGCATTTTTTCTCGATGCACGCAGCATATTCAAATATATAAATTTTTTTTGCCAGCAAATGTTTGCAGTTTGCTGTAAAATTATTTTCAATTGTTTTAATTTTTTTCTTGTTTTGGCTTGCATTTATTTCATTTGCATTATTATTTTTATACATGCCGCAAACAGCAAAATAAAGTTAAGCGAATTGGCTGCAAAATGCGAAATGCAAATGCAAATGCAATCATGTTTTGGCAACAACAACAACAACAACAACAACACGAAAACGAACACAAAATGTAATTTAGTTAAATAAACTTAAACAATACGCAAAACTAAAAGTTATGTATGCTATTATGTAAGCTTAAAAAATCTAAATAAATACATAAATGAATAAATAAAACATAAAATACAAAAAGAACACAAGAAAAAACCTCACAAATATTTCAAATTGATTCGCAAACACAATTTCAACACAAAAGCTGGCAACGATTTTGCCCAGCTGCTTGCGGTTTAATTCCACAGCTTGTAACGTAAACCGGAAGTGTTCGTGTCTCACTTTTTGTGCCAGTGTTGTGCAATGCTGTCAAACAAAGCATGTGACAGGCAGGCCAACACATAAGGAGACAAAAAAGGGATTGAGGCACAGCACGCCGAACTGTGCATGTCCTTTAAAGCGGTAAGATATAATGGAAGTGCCTAGCTTAGCTAGAAGTCGCCAGTGTTGGGCAGTGCTATGCCATAAGGTTTATATATATAGGGGGAGACTGCATAAGGATGTGTGCCAAAGCTTCTTAAAGCTGTTTTAGTAACTTCTAATAGCAGCCAAACTAAGCCAGAACGACATATAGTTGGATAAGGGGTTCTATTTTGCAAAATAACATTTATCAGTGTTGTGCAACGCTGTCCAATTAGGCATTTGGTAAGACAGTGCATATAGATAGAGTGTTAGCAGTATGCTGAAGTTGGAAAAGTATTAAAAAACGGAAAAGAAAGCAAATATGAAAGTAGAAAGGAGAAATGATGATGAAGTTCATACACGCTACCAGTGCTGTGCACTGCTATGCAATTCAGAACGTTACCAGTTTACGAGACAGGCTTAAATAACACAAAAGCTAAGCCGCAACTGGCTCTAAAAAGAACTGGAAAGTATAAAAAAAAAACCTTAAAACAGAGTAGTTAAAGTAGAAACGACCAGTGTTGTGCAATGCTGTACCTAAGAGTAAAAAGTGAAAACGTTAGAAATCTAAAGTCTAGTAAAATTTTATAGTCTACACGGAAGCTAAACAATCACATTCAGAGCACGAATCCCCGGCTAGAGTATCTATTAAATGTCTCAACCCAAGGCCACATTAAGCACAAGAGCTTCCAATCGAGTAACATCCATAAATAATACCAATAACAATAACAAGCTTGAAGTGGGCTGAAGTTTTTTCTTCCCCCGATAGGATATAGAATAGTGCGACAGAAAATTGCTAGGCACAAAAACCAAAAAACACAGACACGAAGAAAAAGGACAACAAATGTAGATATTTTAATTAATATTTAACAAGAATCGTATAAACGATGCTTATAATGAAATCTGAACGGCTTTGCGAGAGTGTGCGTGTGTGTGTGTGTGCGTGTGTGTGTGTGTCGGTGTGTCAGTGTGGTGTCTGTGGGCGTTTGTTGTGGGCGTGGACGTGTGGGCATGAACTGACTGCCTGAAACTTTGTCAAACTTTTGTATACACGACTTTGCTACAACGTTTCCTGTTGCCGTTGTTTTTGTTGTTATTAATAATGTTGCAGCTGTTGTTGTTGTTGTTCTAGTTGTTGTCGTTGTTGTTGTTGCATTGCGGTTGCGTTGGCAACTCCGGCGTCGACAACTGCTCACTTGCATGTCGTTGTCGTTGTCGTCTCTTCTCTTTTTTTTTTAGCTTTATGCGGTTTTTGCAGCTACCACGTGTGTGTGTGCGTGTGTGTGTGAGTGTGCGAAATCACTGAAACAAGTAGCATACTTTTGGGCCAAACAATTGCCAGGCAGCCAACTGTAGCAAACTCAAAAAACGCAGCAAAACACACAAAAACAACAGCAAAAACACCAACAACAACAACTCACTAGAAAAAAGCAAAACGACTCACAACTAACGACTGCGGATTGCCACAAACTGAGAGTATGTCTATGTGTATATGGCATGCAACACACACTAACACACACACACACACACACACACACTCACATACATGGTGTAGTGTCAATGCGCAGCAATTGTGTCTGCCTTGCAACACAGCAATAGGAACAGAAATGAAGCTGGCTTTTCAAATCTGCACAGAAGCCTGTTACTTGCTGATACCCTGCAATCGGAGCAATGAGGTATTACAGAGGCATAAAGGGTTGTAAAAAGAAGTCTTCAAAAAGGGGCTATGAAAGAGAATTCCAATAAAAGGTTATGAAACAGAGTGTCTGAGATGTTTCTCAACAAAGTATGATACAAGATATGCAACAGGATATGCATCAGCCAAAAGTCTACATCTGTGAGCCTCTAAAGGGACATAAGGGGTTGTCGAAAATCGTATCCAGAAGGGGTTTGAAAGAGGTTTGAAACAGCAATAAAAGGGTCTGAAACAGCGTGTCCAACAGGATATCCAACAGATAATGTGAGCTGCAAAAAATATCACATAGAAGGCAAGATCTGTGAGCTCATATTGGGTTGTAGAAGGAGCTTCGCTATTCGGGTCTAAAAGGGGTATGAAAGTGGTATGAAATAACAATTAAAGGGCTGAAAACCAGGTATCTAACAGTGTTTTTCACAGGATATGCAACAGGGTGCATATCAGTGCACACTACAGTCTATAAGTACCTCTGTTAGATCACAAAGTGTGCTTATATTCTGTAAAATAAAGACATAGACCGTTAAAAAAAGGGTTTAAGGCAAAAAAAACCATGTCTAAAAGGGGTATGAAAGAGCAATAAGAGGGGTTGAAGCAGAAGATCTAACAGTGTGTTGAACAGGGTTTGCAACGAGCTATATTAACGGCGGCATCTGTGAGCCCATATTCTTTAAAATAAAGACATAAAACGTCGCAAAAGGGGTTTTAAAAAGAAAAACATTGTCTAAAAGGGGTATGAAAGAGGTTTTACAGGGAAATCAAAATGCTTCAGGATGTCTAAAAGAGTTATGTACGATTTTAAAAGCTACATTTATAAAACCCGTAAAGTGTGCATATACTTGATCAGCGTCCTGCTGCTTATACCTGCCGATTAAGCTTTATCTGTGTACTATAATTTTATACCCTATAACCCGACATAAAGGGAATGAATATGTTATAAAAGGTAAACGAATGTTTATAAGCCTTATTAATAGATCCATACATATGAGTATATATGAGCACGAGACTGGGTTAAACTACTTTAAAGCCAGCTACAGGGTATTTGCCTAGTCTAAACATGCTCCCATATACAATTTTTTGTTTTGCACGTTTTTCATGTTAACCAAAAACGCAGAAATGCTGCGTATTTTTCATATAATACCAGAGTGAAGCACTTTATTATGCTGCTAATTTGTCATGCAGCTGCGAGCCGCGACATTTTATGCACTAAATAATACTAAAGTGCAACTAATTTGCAAAAATTTGTATTGCTGTCAGTTGTTGGTAGCTGCTGCTGCTGCTGCTGCTGTTTACAGCAACTATTTCCGTTGTAGCCAAGTCGCAATTTATATCCGCACGTGTTGCGCGTCAGGACGCGAAGAGAAAACGGAAGACAAATCTGTCATTGTGCGACACGCTTGTTACTACTACTACAACTACTATTATTATTATTGTTATTGTTATTACTGTTATTGTTATTATTGTTATTGCCATTGTATTGTGTAATAAGAAAAGTATTTTTTTGGCTCTGCTGCCGCTGTTGGAACAATGCGACAGCTGCACAATGTCCGCTCGGCCTCAACCCACAAGCCGGAGCTCATTGTAATTGTTGTTCCACGAACTTTTCCTTTTTTCCCGTTTTTGCTGCTGTTTGCCTTTGTAGCTGGCAGGGTTTCGGTTTACGTTTTCGGCTCTTCCGCTGCTGCTGCTGCTGCCGCTGCTGCTTTTCCTTTGTTTTCCTTCAGCGCTTTGTGTAAAGTGTTGTCTTTTACTTTCTTAGCACCTGTCGAAATTACGCAAGTGTCCCTTAAAGCGGGCGACAACAATAGCAACAACTGCAACAACTACAACAACAACCTTGTTTATGTCTTTAACCCTTTCGGGCACAATGATTTGTTGTTGCGCAGTTGCTAATGTTATTTGCATTTCATTTGGCGCGCCCACGTGTCGTATACTTGATGTAATTTTGGTGTTTTTACCTTTGACCAGCGCTAATGAGTTGTTATTTCATTTTTTTTTCCACCCTCATTATTTTCACAAAACTAAATTCAATATGCGCGCACAGAAACTTTTTTAGCAGCTGCAACTTTTGCCAGCAGCAAAAAATAAACCCAAAATGAAAAAAAAAAAAAAACTTTGACGCTTAATGAACTAGTCACCGCAGCAACCGACTCTGGTGGGTTTACAGCTGCTAATTAATTTACATTAGCAAATTGCAAGCATGTAATTGACTTTTATTGGCGTTTCCACTGCAGCAGCAGCAGCAGCAGTCGCAGCAGTCGCAGCAGCAGCAAACACAAACATTCAGTATGTACTTTATATAGTTCTATATGCTTAGGTATTAGGTAAAGTTATGTGCTAATCACACATTGGAGACACATTTGCGGGCCACGTTTGTCAACTTGGCTTAATTACTTAGCCACCGCCAACAGCAGCAGCAGCAATAGCAGCAGCAACAACAATATTTACAATTATGTAAATATATGTAAACATATATTCAAATGCATTTAAAGATATACACATAGCTATAGCAACTATCATATAAAGCTAGGA